CTTGAATCCTGCTTTCAGTTTTAGGCCCCTCACTATGAGAAAGACATTGAGGCGCTGGAGTGTGTCCAGAGAAGGGCAAAGGAGCTGAGGAAGGGTCTGGAGCACAAGGTTTATGAGAAGCAGCTGAGGAAGCAGCTCCAGTTTCAACAGGAGAAAATGAGGCTCAGGGGACACCATATCACTCCCTACAACTACCTGAAAAAAGGTTGTGGATGGAGGGTGTTGGCCTCTTCTCCCAATTAACAAGAAATAGAGCAAGAGGAAATTACCTCAGATTGCACCAGGGGAGGTTTAGATTGGAAATCTAATTTTAAAATTAAATTTAAAATTAAATTTAAAATTAAGGAAACATTTCTACACCAAAAGGGTTGTCAAGCACTGGAGCAGTCTGCCCAGGGAAGCATCTGGGTCACCATCCCTGGAGGAGACATTTAGATGTGGCAGCTGGGGACATGGTTTAGTGGTGGCCTGGGCAGTGCTGGGTTAACTCACTGACCTTGAAGGTCAGTGAGACAAGTGACCAGGTTGGACTCACTGACCTTCGAGGTCTTCTCTAACCAAAACAATTCTGAGATTCTACATCTGCAAATAGGGCATTGGCTCTGCCTTCAGAGGTGAGCTCTGTTGTGGTGGATCAGATGGCCAGGTGCAGTAACACCACCCCTAATCCGATTTTCTCAAAGGTTAGCAATCCTAGGTGAATGGCCCAGGTCTGCCTGCCTGCATCAAGGGGGTACTGACAGATCTGTGTGATCAGTGCAAACTCCCAGCACAGGACAGTAATAACTAAAGGGCAAAGAGGTCCCTCTGGGAGGGTAATCCTGTGGGTCCCTCATGGGGTGACAGAGGGACTGTGGATGCTGCACTTGGCACTGACCACAACTGCACCTCCTTGGGGAAAAACACACCTGGGCTCACAGCTCTCTGGCATCACAGGAATTAACAGATATACAGGAAGGAAAACTGATTGCTTTCATCCTGGCTGGCTACACACACCAAGTGTTACCAGATCATCTTCCCATTCAGTGCTCTGCTTCCACTATGCTTTGTTGCTGATCTTTTTTTTTCACCAACTCCACAAAAACGCCCCATTTTGGATTGACCATCAGAAAACAGATTAATCATGATCCTTCTGGATGTGGAATGGAAACAGGCAGTCCAAAGAGCTGATTTTTGTCTTGAGGCCAGGATTTACATGGGGCTTTCTTTACTGGAAGGTTGAGGAGAAGAAACTGTGCTGTATGACATCTCATGGGTTTCCTATAACTTCCAGCAGTAAATCCATTTCTCCAGAGGCAGAAAAAGGAAGGCAGCAACAGCTAATTATACCCTGTGGGGCAATTTGCTGTTTTATTTCTTGGTGTACTCTCTGACTAGTGGAAAATCACTCTTGGCAAACACAAAACTTACCCTGCTTCCAAAAGGTGCGTCTCTAAATTATTAATCGAGAGTACACAGAACCGCGAAAGGTGGAATACTGAGCAAAGGCTCAACTGACACTCTGGAAGTTGAGGCAGATATGGAAGACTCCCCTCTAATTTATTTATTCCTTTTCTGTTCTGTTATCCTGATATGCTGCTTCCAGTTACCACTGCACCCCACACTGTATGGTATTACGTGATTTTGTTTTCAGATTGTTGGAGATAAAGTTACTTCATTATTAATATATATGCACTGTGCATATCCATAAATATTGAATATATACGTGTGTGTGGTGTGTGTGTGTGTGTAAACCTACTGGAAGTGTTAATAGTTAAGATAAACGAAGTCCATTATTGCAATGAGTGACTATTTCTATGACCCTATTTGCAATAAAAGCAGATTCAATGATATGAGAAAATTGCTAGGTTTCAGAATAATTGAACCAGGCCAGACGAATCCCCACAAAGGCATCATTTACAAAATACTTTGCTTGTCTAAAATATTTATTCCCACAGAAGGAAATGGAAAAAGAGTTCATATGGTTACACAGCTATCCTCTGAGTGTAAAATTGTTTTATCATGTTATGTTTATGCCCTAGACATCTTCCACTGGGGTATTGCAGAAGAAATGCTGGCTGTGCAGTTAATTCCTTTGTGTGGACTGTTCATATTTTTTCTCTGAGAAGTCAATCATGTTTTGTTTAGGCATGTTTTGTTTTTCTGCTGAGCAAACACTTAAGCAACCCTTTTCTTGCTAAAACATGTTTGCATATACAATGTGCACCATTCAATGTCAGTGCTACACAGAGAGTTGAAATGTTTTTGCTTTCCCTCCTGTGTACTATGGGAAGTAGTGAATTCCTTAATAAAAATGTTGGTGTTGCTCTTTAAGGCTGCAGTATATTATTCGTGTTTAAGGGCTACATCAGGGGTTATAGATAATTCTAGTTTGTCTTTTATTGAAAGCCTGGATAGACCTTTACTATTAAATGTTCACAGCAAAATGATTCCAAGCAATCTACAGACAAAGAATTACTCCCAGCAATTATCCACTGAATAAATCTGAATAATGAATACATTCACAAAAGTCACTATCTATTTGTGAACAATTAGCTGAAAGAAATAGAGGTGACACTCACAAGCTAAATAATTCATTTATGAATTATTTGTCCAGCTTTGTTTCTGACATACATTGCATGAAATGAGATCAAAGCTTAGATGAAAAATTACTTTAAATGGAAGGACAATATTAAAGGAAATTCTTACAGCTTCTAATGCAGAAATCATTCCACTATAGTAACTATTATTTATTACCAATGATTTCAGAGGCTAGATAAGTTATTTTCCTGGACTTTTTTACTTCAGGCATTGGGTTGTGTTTTATTCCCAACATATGTCCAATTTTAGGTTGTTAAACTACAATCAAAAGCACTTAGCACGAATGGAACTGTCCCTGTCTTGAGATTTGAACTGCTGACATCTTTATCCGCTGAAACTTGAGTGCCCAGGTAACTACTAATTATTCAAGCATTTACAACCATTACTATCAATATAATTAGCACATCTTGAGATAAAAGTGAGAATGTCACTATGAAATTATCATTCCTGGCATTTAGATAGCAATCTTTCATGAAAACATTTATAAGCTGCCCAATTATTTTTCAATCAAATGAAGAAAAAAATTGTTTACATTTATAGGGAATCTAGAACTGAAAAGAAATCATTTCTAGCATCAAAAATTATAAATGTTGTCTCCATATGTACATTTCTTGAATAAAATAAATCCCACCAACTTCTATATTGGTGGTTTTGTGGGATGTTTTGTTTGGTTTCTTTTTGAGAAATTACCAAAATGTCTTTAACCAAATACTTAGAAAACTGTGAAGCCTTCCTTTGAACAAAGCTGGGTTCAGTGAAAAAGACATGAACGAGGTTTTTCATTCAGGTCTGAAAGCTGACAAGTGCATTGCCCCACTCTGCAGGAATAAGGGGCTGCACAAGACCTTCTCATGTGCCTTGCTGGGTGACACTACTGAAAATAAGCAAGACAGTTCCCATGGACAAAGTCAAAGATAGATAAGGACTAGAGTTTGACTTCCCTAATCCCACCTTCATCAGTTTTGCTGGCCAAAACAGGCAGGTAAATTCCTTCTTACATGAATTAGAAGTGATTATCACAACAGGAGGGAGGAGGAGCCGGGGAAGCAAGGGACCATGGTTTGACAGGTTTTGTCACCTTTCTCTCTGGGGTCTGCTATAAACAAAATTTTAAAGACTGTCTTTTCCCCAGCAAAAAACCATCCTAGATATCCTGAAATAACTTCTGTGGAACACTCGCAGGACCCACCAGAGAGGGGATTTTGGGAGCATTTCACAAGGCCTGCGGCTGTGAGCTGGTTCCAGCATGAGGAAAAGCCCTCCTTCACCCCAATGCACAGGAAAGAGAAGGTAAGATAATCCTCTCTGGGAGGCTTTTAGATATAGTGCATTCGGTGGAGAGCCCTAGACCAGCCAAATCTGTTCCTCTCCGCGTGGAGATTGATATCACTAAGGGCAGGCTTGAGTGCAGAGGCTGAGCTGCAGGAGGGCAGCAAGTCCTGAGGGGTCTTCTGACCCCACATCAGCCACAGAAACCTCCTCTGCTGCTCTGGCCCAGCTTTCTCTGGATCCCAACCCTTTCCATCTACTCACCCATTCCCCATATCCCTGAGAGGAAGTGAATAACTGGTGAAGCCCACAGAACAGCTGTGCTCTCTGGTTCCCAGTGCCTGTAAGAGCATCTTGCAACCCTCTCTGCACTGCAGAACGAGTGACCACGACATGGAAATATCCATCCAATCACCTGCTAAGAAATCAAACCATGTACATTACACATGACACTTCAAATAAATAGTTCCAAGAAAAGAAAAAAAAATATAAATAAAATAAAAAAAATAAAAAGCACAAGCTTGTGCTTCCAGGGATAGTAAACCAGTATGTTTCAGCAATCATGCCAGGTATTTTTAACTAAAAATTTTATATTTGATGATGCCCAGTCTTCAGCATTTGACAAGGGGCTGTTAAAACCTCTTGAACAGTAAATCACGTCTCTTTCTATCAATAATCTTATTATAATATGAGTAGAAATGTCAAATGTTTAAATCCCATTTTATTACTATAATAATGGATTTAATTTGTAAAACATATAAAGTGAGGCCATAACTGTTCTGGAGGGAGATATCTGTCATCCCACTATATTTATATAATTTCCTGATGGCTTTACCCACATATTTTGAATGGAAGAAGGATTAAAAGCAATCCCACTTGAAAGATATTAGTGATTGGGAATGGATTCCAGGAAGAAAATCTCAGAAATGCAGCAACTGTTTTTGGAAAAGGCACCCTCAGCTTCACATTCACACAAAACAAACACGTAGGTGTTTATCTGTGACTTGCTCCATTCAGGCCCTCTCCCGGTGCCAGAAAAGCCCTGCTTCCAGCTGCACAATCACTATTATCACTATGTGCTATTTTTGGCTCCTGAGTGCATCTCTCTTGGCGTCATCCTTCCCACTCCAGCCCTGGTACGAAGGGCACAAACTCTTCTTTCCCCTCCCTCATCCTCCGCTGCCGCTCCCGTCTGCGCGGTGCCGCAGAGGGGTCTCCGGATGCTTCTCCCTGGTCCTCCTCATTTTCCTGGGCAAGAGGCTTTCCCTCCAAAGCTTCATGCAGGAGGCTTCATGTTGGCATCCAGGGTACATGTCCCAAATATGTCCAGCCTCACTTTCTGATCCTAGTGGCAAGGAGCCACAGGTAAGTAATCTTCTGATGGGAGATGGAGTCCCTGTGTCCAGTGCCTGGAGCTTGTTACAAATGGGTTTTTTTAGGGTCATACAATTTCCCAGCTATCACTTTGGTAGGTTGCCAGCTCTTGTTGCAGTAAGTTGACACCAGATTTCTGTCTGAGGGGACAGTGCTTTGCTTGTTCTGACACTGCGTAGCTTTGATTTCCACAAGTTATTAAAGTCTAGTAAATATTGTAAAATTACTTCCTTTTGAAAGTCTTCCTTGGCTAGGTACTATCCAACCAGCTAGTTGTTCAATGATTTTCTCTTTTGACATGATGTCGCTGCTAAGTGTTTGGAAAAGCTCATCTGGACAACAGCTGCACTTGGAGTTATAAATCTCTTCAAATACAAGGTTCAGTTTCCTTGATTGTGCCACAGGAGAAGCCCTCATAGCTAAAGCTATAACCACCCCTAGCCTGAGCTGGGCTGTGTCTCCCTAAACCTGTTTCATTTTACACAGAATAATCAAATATTCATTATGTAAGTAAGTGTGTGTGTGTGGCTGTTGCAGAGTGATTGGGGTACTCACCTGGTAGATGAGAGACCCTGTTCCCAGTGACCGCTCCAATGAATATTTAAGTATTCCCTATTAAATATTCATTGGAGCAAGGGTAGGAGCAGACCTCTGCCACCCCCAAGGGAGCACCCAAACACCAAGCTGTAAAGTCATTCTTTCTTTCTTTAGGCCAATGAATATTTAATTATTCAAGGCCAAACAAGACAGCTTCAGTGGCAGAGATTGAGATTCCCTGCTCCCGTGTGTGCACCATAACTCAGATGATGAGGGTGTGTATATAAGATGTATTTTTACTTCTTTGGACTTGGAAAGAAGTGAAATCCATGTTTTCCATAACCTGGATGGAGCTTCCAGCTTCTTAGCTGGTGAATGAAAAACACAGAGCTCCCACACACACTGTCCACAGTCGTGAGACAGAGGTGATATGACCCCAGGATGAGAGAAAGCATCCTTATCAGTGATGAGATTGGTTTTATGAATCTCTCAGGAGAAGGAATCAAAGCTAAAGACATTCCTCACCCCACAGCAGTTCCTGCTGGCTATGTAATATGTTTTCTGAGGTTATCCAAAATGTGATGTGTAAAACCTGTTCATCCCCTTTACTCTGGGGTCTGACACCCCCAGATTGCAGACAGCAGGACCTAATCCTGATTCTGCAGTCCAGGGGGTGGGTGTGTGAAATGGTGAGTGTGGGGAAAGCATCCAATGAGAAAAGTCAAGGCAATGCCATTTAAAAATAATAATAAAATATTTTTTTTTAATAAAAAAGCACAAAAGTAGTTAATTGAGGAATAGAAAGATCAAAACAAGGAGAAAAATTGAAGTAAGGAGCAGGCAATCACTGAGTAGGGGAACAACAAACAAGGGTGGAAACAGGGAGCAGGGACAGTGACCAGGAGAAATAAAACCTTTATCTAGCAGAGGAACAGAGTGGAGAGATGGAAAGGTCTAGAGAAGAATATTTCAGTCTTAAAAATAAATTATTATGAATGTCTACCCCTCACTTTGATCTTTGAAAAGTGGAAAAATTTCCACCTGCTCTCTATTGCCAGAGGGCAGTGGGTGTCTGAACCAAGGTTCTTTGGATTCACTTTGGGCAGTTGACTGTGTGATCATTCCCATGCAGAACAGTGAACTATTGCTGTTATTGAAGCTCTGTTTCTTGTAATCTCAAAGAATTCACAGCATTATGGTTCTGTTGTTAAAGATTAAATGTGATTTCTAAGCAAAAATCAGAGCAACAGCATAATTGCTACATTGAAGTGCAAGTAAATTACCTTCTTGAACCCACCAGAAGTGTCCAAATCCAAGTCAGCTGCCTAGTCCCAGTTGTTGAAATGGTAACACTGCATTCTGAATGAAACTGCTTAGCTCAGAACATTTCAAAGGTGCTCCAAATGATACGGTTCATATATTTCATATCACATTTATGTTCCTCTAAGAACAGCCCTAGGCTGTTGAGCAGCCACCATCAGCAAATATTTGTTACAATTTAGGGAAACCCTTTCTGAAAATTTTGCTGTTCATCCCTTTAACTATTCTTTTCCCTGAGAATACAGCTTTAGAGCACTGCAGGTCTATGGCAATGTAGGAATATCCCTTTGTCTTGCTGTAAATATTGCAGTTGCCTGACTATGTCCAAGCAGATGTGTTACATATCATGTCCTTCGAGGGACACGGTAACAGAGCCACCAAAGATCAAACTTTCACCCAGATACATTAACCCTGTTTGAATGGCCACATGTCTTGTGTTTTGATGAACTCTTTAGACAGATGACAGTAGCTATCCTCCTTCCATTCTGAGGAAAAGGCCACCTGTGGACCAAGCTGTGGGGGAAAAGCGGAGAGCAGAGAGAAGGGTTCGATTTCGTGAGCCAGAAGAAGTCATTGAACATGGTATGCTCAAGTTATCAGGAATTTTGGCATGACCTTTCTGGCTTTTAACATCCACTCTGGCTGTCCACATCAGCTTCCCCCTCTGATAATTTGTGATTTTCAGCTCAGCATGGAGCAGAGGATGGATGATTTTTGCTCTGTGCTCTGCAGAACTGTATCTGGTCCCTTTGCCTTCCTGCCCTGGGAGGAGACAGACTCCTGCCTCACCCCCAGCTGCTGCCACAGCCCCAGAGTCAGCCCCCACAGGGATCACTGGAGACCATGGGCTTGGCCGGGCCCCAGGGCTACCCAAGAACAATGTTTCCACTTAGACCAAATTTAAACATAATTTTGTCATTTTGGTTAACTGGGATGCCACAGAATACAATAGCAGAGGTCTGAGCCTAGCAGCCAGGGTGTAATAACTTCTGCCAGCAAAGGCACCCAAGGCCTGACATAGCCAACAAAACCTCTGGTCTCCTCATTCATGAGCCAAAATATTGCAGGTAGGTCAACTGGGAATGACCTCCAGCAGAGGTCTGGCACAAGGATCTAGTTTGCACTTCTGCATGTGCTGTATGCCACACCAAATAATAACTGGTGTTACCTTCTTACTTTCCCAAACTCATCCAACCAAGAAAATTTTATTTATTGGTAGAGAACTAAAATTATATGGGTTTGATATGTCAGTTGATCAAAACACAGGTGCAGAATGGTAAAATTTCAATGTCAGCCACCTGTTTGGACTGCTACAGCTTCTGAAAATAAAGCTTGGCATCTGCTGGTGTGTCTAAAAACAGAACTCTTATTTGTTTGGCAATACATTGTTTGGGATGCCTCCTGATGCATGAAGGGGAAACTGTTTCTTAATAAGCTTATTGTCATGGTCTGGGCTTTCCCACCAAAACAGAACTCCTGGAAAGACTCGGTGAGTCAACCTTAAATTCCTCAAAACTCATCTGGCTGCTCATGAGCAGGATTCCAATGGGAATTAATAACTCCCTCAGCTCTCTGCCACAGTCCATGCCCACTTCAGCACTGGGAATCCTGCAGTCTGTCCAGCCCACCCCAGGGGTCCAGGCTGAGCTCCCACTGGCTCTGGCTCCAGCAAAGCCACGCTGGAACTCATGTAGGGAGCTGCAAGCATGGAGAAGACTCTGACTCTTTTTCATGGACTCATGAGAAATGTTCCAACCCATAATTAACATTCTGTGTTGCAAATAGTCTGTGATTTAGATTATTTGCTGTTTGTCCACACAATATTATTCACATTAAGGATGGTAAAATGAAGGTTTCTGGCACCACTGAAATTTTTCCGTTCTATGGACTTTTCATCCTGGATTGTGTCTGGGCCTTGGCTGCCAAGCAGACGCATTTCCAGGATGTTGTTGATGAAAGTTAGCCTGACAGTGCTTTCTTAACTTGCATTCTTTCAGCCTGCTGCTCTGAATCCTTTCCTTTCTAGGAATTATGTGGAATAGGGAGGGGTTTTTCCTGACCTCCCTGCAACAGCAGCAATCCTGCCTCTGAATTCTCACACACAATAATTTTCCCTCCCTTTCCGAAGTGCTCCTCCATCTGCATGTTTGCATGGATTGGGTAGGTCCCCACCCAGAGCCAAAGTGCTGTAAGAGGTTGCCCAGCATCTCTCAGGTGATGCAATTTCAGAGACACTGCTTGGTTCTGGCTTTTCTTGTGTACCCACTGCCAAGAGACCTTTCCAGGAGAGTAAGAACATTTTCATTCTGTTTTCTAGTCATTTCCTGCTGTGACTACGTTGTGGGTAAGTTGAATTTTTCACATTATAACTGTGAGCCATCCATAGCATTAACCTGAGTTTGATTTTCAGCTGGTGGGGTGCACTGTGCAAATATACCCTCCATTTACACAGCATTTTGTGTTGTCAGTGGTTGTTGCTTTTTCTTCTCAGAGTAAGCAGCACAATGATGTGCTCTGGTGCAATTTTAAACAAGACATCTAGTAAGACAGATAGTGGAAACAAAAATTAAATCCCTGAAGCTATTTTTAATTTAAATATAATTAATATATTTTTATGGCATTAGAATAGGTACAGGTTTCTCACTAAGATATGCAAGGAAAGCACCCCAAGCTAAACAATAGTTCTCCCCGCCGAGTTCCACATGAGGGAAAGAGACAATTCATTTATATGCTGACAGCAGGGTAGAAATAATAAAAATAATTGTTTTTTTCTCTTTTCTGTTTGAGGCCTGGCAGCCTCACAGACCCCCAAGCTAATGAGTGTATCTGGATATTCTGATGGTGATCATTTCTAGAGCCCCTGCTGTAGGCAGTGCAGCAAAGGGCAGAGGGGTACCTATATACATGTATATATGCACACACAGACCTATAGTTTTGAGAGGCCAAAAAGCAGACATCCCCAAATCCCTCAGCTATTGCTGTTGTCCAGGAAGAAGGGCTGTATGCTCATGACAATGGAAGCATCATCTAGAGCTGTTTTTGGGCTAGAAACAGGGTACTACAGGCAGAAAAGGGCCCAGTGGAGAAGCAAAGATCAAATATTCTTCAGGGTGCAGTGGAAATGTGTATCCAGGGCAGGAACTGAAACAAAATCTCCTGTATCCAGGTCCAGTGCTTTTCTCAGATGAGTCGCCATGAGACTGGGCACAGGTGTGTGCTCTTCCAACAAGAAATTTAACTAACAAATTTAAGCTTTAAATTTCTAATTGTAATCTAGAAAAGCAAATTTGATTTTCAGCACCTAAATGTAGTGATGGACTGAAGCTGTTGTGAGCATAGTTCATCCCAATTTTGCAGGTGGAATTATTCTTCTGTATTATTATTATTATTTTATGTTCATGGATAGAACATATTTCATAACTGAGAGGACATAGGGAAAACACACTTTTACATTTGAGATCATCCAGAAATTTCACATGGAAAGCAACTTTTTAAACCTGAACGGGTTACAAGCACTTCATATGAAAATGTTGATGTGAAAAGTTGTTCAGCTTCCACAGGAAGGTTTCCTTGCTCCCACATGTGCTCATCAGCCAAGCCCCATGTTGGAAAAGGCAGGTGGGCACCCAGTCAAGAGCTGCAGCCTGTGGTGTGGGAAATCTCACAAGGGAAACACCAACTCCCAACCCATAAATCTCTGAAAAACCAGAAAGTAGTGAGCAATTCCCTGGCTAAACACCTTCATATCAACCCTTCATAGAATAATGCCAAATAAACAAATTTATAAAATCTGAAGTCTGCACATGGATAATTTGCAAACAGAAAGAAGGGCTAAATTCAAATGAATAAATTACTTGCTGCAAATAACTCACTCAGATCTATTATGGGACATTGATTTGGTTTCTGGTTAGCTATAAAATGACTGCCTATTAACATTTTACCTTTTCCCCATACACTTTTTGATACATTATTATGTGTTTCTGGCTTGGTTTTATGACTTTTACCTTCCTCTCTGTACATCTGTATGACAGTTTAATTGACTGGTGTGTATTCCAGGGCTCGGAGTGGAAGCTAATTTAAATACGTTACAGCTAATGTTGGCCCTTTACCCATAATAATACACTCCACATTTTTATCTCCTTATTGATTATGTGCATATGGCAGGAAAATAGCTGCACAATATGGGTTTTATTCAGGCATGAATTTGGCTTTATACTGCATGTTTAATACTCTAAGTGCTTTATGAAATAGTGCCGACTGTACAATGGCCATGCAGGCAGGCAGAGCAGCCAGATCTGAATCAAACTGCATCCCCAAGGCCCAGGGATGGATATGCAGGCAAGGACTGGGATGCAGCTGTCAGCAAGCTGAATGCAGCCCTCTGATTTCCACATGTGTGCTGTGCCCGACCCGAGGCACTTTAAACATATTTGAAAAATATTTTGAAGGCAAGAAAAATCTTTTCAGTACCCTCCTGCTGAAGAGCAAATGCAGAGGATGTCCTGGTGTAATTAGCAGCCATAGCAGAGTGGTTCACACCACCAGAGCTTTCTGGACATGCCTCTTGGTTAATGGAGCCATGCTTGGGTTCTTTGCACAATTAGCAGGAGTCCCAAACAAGCTGACTTACCAGGGCAAAGGACAGAAATCTATAGCTTCTCTCTTTTATGGAGCATTTATGAATATTAAATAATTACACCAAGTAGCTTCATATTCTCCTAGTACTCAACTTAACATTTAGGGTAAAGATATAAAAAATAATTGCTGGAGAGGAAGTTAAGATCATGCATTAGCTATGCTAATCCTGTTCTTATTGTATATAATTAAACTCTTTAAATGCTCCATTAGATGATATCTCTCATACTCACCACCCTCCATCAGGAGGTGTGACTCACTACCACTTAACTGATGCCGACAGAAGTGCTCACCACCAGAGCCCTCTGTACCCTGCTGTTGCCAGAAAACTGGGACAAAGGCATCAGCAGGGGATCAAATTTGGAAAGTGTTTAAGATGGCACTAAAATAGTGCTGCTTTCTTTTTTCTCCTCATCACCGTTCAGCAGATGACAGGACATCATCTGGATTGCCTGTGCTCCTGTGGCTCTCGTTTTGTGCAGTGCTGATTCTTGCTGTGAGCCTCTACTACACCAGCATGAAGCAGGATGTCAAAGTCCTGGAGGAATTTCAATCCCGACTTGTCATCTTCTTCCTTCATATAAGACACGTTGCTCAGAGGTGCTGGACTTGGTTTATGAGGCAGTAGCAGCGTCCTTCAGCCTGACACTGCTAAGAAACTTCAGTGCAAAGCTCCCAGCACACAGCAGCCACATGCAAGGAACACATGAGCATCCACCCCAAAGAGCAAGAAAATCACCCTGCTGTGCACCATCTGGCAAACACTTGTTCTCCTTTTTCCTTCTTTGTTGTTTGGGGTTTTCTTTCACATCAGTGAACATTCAAACTAATGCCTCCTCAAGTCTCCTAAGAATTATTTTGCAAAAGTTAAAATAAAGCTGAGCTGTTGCAGACACTGCTCTGGTGGTCAAAGGCTTGGCAAGCTGCTATATTTATATACCTGAAATGATTATTAGTAAAATCCCAGCTAACAGCTTTCTTGTTTCCCTTCATGCTTTGTTTTTCCTCCATGAGCAAAAGCTGGTTCTTAATGCTTCACTTGACTCCCAGCTGTGAAAAAGAACACGGAAACTCATTTAAAGAGAAAATAGTTTATTTGCCTAACATAACAAATAGCAGCACTGGAACCCAGGTTAATCATCAAATCAGTAGTTTAATCCTCTGGGTTTGATTCTGTCCATCAACCCCACAGGCTGACACACAAGATTTATGACAGTGCTTGTATTCAGACAGAGGTTATGCCTTCGTGTTCAAGGCCCTATATCATGGCAACATGGATTGCTTATGAAGGTGTTGGATGCATAGTTCCTTTATCACTCCATTGTCCCACCATACTATGAATTTCTCTGAAAGAAATCCTTTCAATGGAGATCATGTGAAATGGTGCTCTTGGGTATCTGAGAGGAGAACAAATGACTGCAAGTTCGTGAGCTTCAAAGAACCGACACAACCAGATTTTTAGACCTTAGATTCTGCTCAGGTAGCACCTGATATGTGCTTTGGTTATTTTTTATGGTAAGATTGACATCAGAACCTCTAAGAGCTGAAGTAAAAGGGAAAAATAGGGGGGAAAAAAACCACTCCAAAGATGATGTCTGCAAGACCTTGGCCTATATTCCCCTTGCCACTGCAACAATCAAAAAGAAAATATGGTGCTTTATTTTTAGTTATTTTTTCAAAAGAGGGCCATACATCTGCCCTTCTCCCAAGGAGCCCAAGAACTTTTACCAGGAGAGGATAAACAGAAACACCACAGACAGCCTTTTCTTAGGAGAAGAGGGGTCAGCAGCTTGACTGAGAACAAGGCAGAAAAATTGCAGCCCAAAACAGAAAGTGCCTTCAGTGGCTCATGCCCCTCTTAGGCTGTCAAAGCCGCAGGGGTGGCACGGGGCAGGAGCTGCGTGGGGAGCAGAGGTTGCTCAGGGCTGGGAAGCAGAGGGTGCTGCAGGAGCTGTGTTTGGCACAGGGGCTGTGTGCAGATCACTCAGGTACCCCAGCTCAGAGGGTAAGTCCCACCACTGCTTGCCTCCCCTCTCCACTGTCTCAGCCCTGCTGTTTAGGTAATAAAGAAGAAAGGTTTTAAACATGTGTGCTGGTGAATCTCTGGGGAAAACATTTAGATTGGTACATGGAGCTAGGGGGTCATTTCGACTTCTGTTTGCATTTTTTAATGTTAGTGGAGTTTTTAATGTCCAGGTTGAACTCTGGCAAATCAGTGGTGTTTCTTTTTGGCTCTGGGCTGACTCCTCTTAGGACTGTGAGGGAAAATGTGGAGGTGGTGTGAAGACCATATGTGTGCTCACCTTCCTGCACAGCTCCCCAGGAGATGGATAGAGGACCACCTTTCCACTGAGCCTGCTTCAAATGGAAAATGTCCACGTTCCTTTTCTTGGACCCAATTTATTAGTGTGAGAACTGCTATCACATCTGGGCTGTCAGGGATATTTAGCAGAGGAACAGCTATTTTTGGCTTTTGTGTTGGCTCTGTTTGGGACTGTTTTGGGCATGGGAAAAGGCAGCACTTTAGTTATCTTGAGATCACTGTTGAGGTCTCACCATGGCTTTACAAGGTCTCCCAGGTCAGGATTGTTTACAGTGGTCAGTCAGATACTTGGCAGGCAGCAGAAAGACAAATTAAATTTGCCTCAAAGCCAGAAGGTTTGAAATAAATAAAAGTTAAAACTGGCAGAGCAGTGGCATCTTGTAGGTGAAGGAGCTGAAGCTAAGAAAGCCATTGCATGTGGGAGTGAATAATGTAGGTCAATAACATGACTGGGAATAGGAGAAAAATTTCCATCTCCTGGGCTTACAATTTTTTACTGCTGCACAACTTCACTGTGGACTTACCTCTTTTATTTCCTTCTCACACTGAAGATCCTTTTCCATTCATCCAACCTTAAACACAAGCAAGCCCTTTTCCCTCTCTGCCCCTTCATTCTTCAGCTATCATAGCTTTATCTTCACCACTGTGAGCTGGATGTGATTTCTCCTTATTCTTGTTGAGTAATGTTTTTTCTGGGTGTGACACCTGTATGAGTCTGGATCTCTAAAGTTACATAAAATCTTCTGTGTTGGGTAATAATCCCCTTGCTGGTCATGTTGGGTAATATTTGCCTTCAGTACAACTCCTGAGAATTTCTCAATAGAGGTAAAAAGGAGAAAGAGTACATAATTTATTGCAAACAGTGGAGATGCTCACCTGAATTCACACTGGAGCCAGCTTGGTGACTTGTTTCAGAAGTCAAAAGTCCTGCAGCCAACCATCTCTGGGCAATTGTACAATGAAGCTTGGAAATAGCTGTGTTTTAGATATAAAGGACTGGAAGAGGGAGTGATGTAGGACAGGACCCTTGGTGCAGTTTTTGAAGCAGCCAGTGGGTAGGAGGCATTCCCAGGAGCAGTGTCTGGGGTGGCAGGAGACAAAGGGTCAGGGGAGAGTAGCAGGTCTGTGCATGACAATGGACTAATAGCTAAGGGTGGAAGCGCTGCTTAAATTCCCTTATGCACTGAGTATGTAACTAACACACAACAGAAATAAGCAGACCACAAAAGAAGGGTAAGTGTTGTTTTGACAGTGTTCAGCACATTCCTGCAGTGTGAACTGCTGGAGGGCAGCTGCCAACACCCTCTTCAGGCACATCAGCAGCACCTGATTGCAGCAGCAGGCAAATCCATACCCATATGATTAGAGGAGATAGAAAAAGACACAGAGAGATGACACTGGATGGTTTTGCATTAACCTTTTGATGCACTCAGCATTAGCACCAGTAAAAGGCAGTCCCAAAGCCTGCCTTGGGTCCCCCTCCTTCCCTTCATCTCTCCAACCCTGATAGTCTGGAAATGAGCCCATAGCAGCAATTGTAATTGTCATTTCTGCCTTTTGCCACTCAGAAGCAAGCAGAAGAACTGGCAGCTTGTGACTATAAAAGGGGTGTTACCAGCTGCCCTCAAGGACCAACTCAGGAACCTATAAGATAATAAATAGTGTGGACTAGTTTCTTATTAATTCCTTGCTCCAAGATAGCTGTTGGGAACCTTTAAGCCCACCTCTGAAGAGAAAGACTGATGCTACATGACAAAAATCAACCAGCTGGCATTTAGAAAATTAGCCTGTCCGTGCAGCCTGTGGTGTCCCCTTACATTTGGTAACAAACTGCCTTTTAGCTGCATTTTGACACAGGACCATTTTCTCCTTGTCTCCAATGGCATTAGGCTGAGCTGCTGGAAGAAGATACCAAAAGGGGATCAGGCAGCTGAGGATGGTTGATGTTAACTATACAAGTTGTGGCATGGAGAGGCTGGGGAATGAGTACAAAGACTCTACCACTGACTCTGAGAACACTTTTTCTATCTTACATTGTAACAATTTAAACTCACCTTCAAAGAACAGACACAGAAATATGGACTTTTCAAATAATTTATTTTTATATTTCACCAAATCATAAAAAGCCGATGCACTGTTCAGCAAAAAGCATCAATATATAAAACACAGTAACTCATTATCAGTAATGCTGGAGTGTACCACGTACACTGAACCCAGCCCAGCTCCTACTAAAGCCAGAGGAAACTCAGTGACTCCACTAGCAGAAGGATTGGACTCAGCATTTTTTCTTTGCTGGGTGTTTTACAAAGGGTTGTATTAAAATGCTAGTAAAAAGCTTCCCTTTTGAGACTGTATCAAAACAATAATAAACCTCATTCTCTTTCTGGTTTTGTCAAACACATGCAATTAAAGCTCAAAATTAGCAGTCATTACACTGCAAAAGACCATACAAATCAACAGAGATAATATTCAAAAGAGGCCAGGCTCTACCCTTGTGTGGACTGGTGTGGTTGCTCACAGGATAATCTATGTACACTGGTGAGGGATCTGCTCCTTCACTGCTTTCAGTGGTTAAACAAATTATGAAAAAATGTTCAGTTTCCTCCCCAAATACTCATTGCAGGAACCTTTTCAGCAGCATTAAATAAATAAATAAATAAATAAATAAATTTTAAATAGTAATAATAATAAATAAATAAATGAGCAGGTAATCTAGGCTCTTATAAAGCTTTTCCCAGGTGGGTATAACAGACAGTAGTTCATGAATACATACATCAGAGGCCACATATTTCAGAGAGGCTGAAAGGCTCTACGCTGACTTAATCTGCCACACAAAACCACTAAACCTTTCAAAACTATGGGTGTCAACAATCTACATTCACAAATGCCAAGTCTACAGAGATTTGGGAACAGTCTTTCCTTGCCCATGCAAGTCACAAGCTGCACAGGAGGAAGGGCCAGTGTAGGATATCTGGATCTCCAAGATCCAGATCTTGCTTTCCTCCAAGTCTGGTGGCAGTCTCTTTAAACCTGCAGAGCTGGCACAGGTGGCTCTCTCCAGAAGCTGACTTTATGTCAGTACATGCTTCAAGAGGATGCTCTGCAGTTTGTGAGGCCACAGGAGCAGGCAGGGGCTGGGCAGGCCAAGCAAAGGCTGAAACTGGTGTCAATACCACTCCCTCATATCACAGCCCAAAAGCTGAAATCCCTCACAGGAAATGCACTAACTCCTCATTACCTGTTTTTGTTCAGATTGATGCCACTGTCCTGCTGTCCTTGTCTCTGCTAGGATGAGATGGGAGAAGTAAGGCCCAATTATTTTGATAACAATAAAACCGTCCCTGAGGTTTGCAGAAACATTTTTGCTGATGAAAAGATCCAGGGGGAAGGAATTTCATTGGAACTGTTGAGATTTTTTTGTTATTGTTTTTTTGGTTTTTGTTTTGTTTTGTTTTTAAATGTTCAAAAACCCCTTGTGAGTGCACGTCAGATCTCAATATATTGATTTGTCAGCTGTATAGCTTGGGCTGTTTTAATCAGAGAGTGTTTGACCAGAATTGCTCTGACACCATCAGCCTGCACTGGCTGTGGACCCCATGCAGTGGTGCCCTCACAGAGGGATGCTGTTCAGCTCAGACCATCTCAGCATCCCTGAGCAAAGGGACTGCCTGCTGCTCTCAAAGACTGTGATTTGATAAGGAGCTTGCCAGCACCTTATGAAATCAGATGCTGAACCCTGTTTCAACAACCACAGTTAAAAATGTTGCAGCAGCCTAGAAAGTGGAATGGATTTACTGAGGCAATCCCATGTGTCCCAGAAAGATGTGCTGTGTTTCAGACACAAACTGTTGGACTTCAGTGTTAATAGGGAAAAATAATTCTCTCTGCTGCAGGAGAGATGTGGTGAGGAGTTCTGGGCTGTGTAATGTGGGATACCATGACAGTTTTCAAACATTCCCCTGCTTTAAAATCTATGGTTTAACAAAGCACTCATCTAACTCCACCAGGTTCCTGGAGAGACTGCTGGCACCAGCCTTGGAAACCTCCCAAAGCAACACATCACCCAAACCAGGCCTGGCTTATGTAAAGGGAAGGGTTCAGTGTCACAATCCAGAGAGGCTGAATGAGAACAGGGAAAATCCTCAACTTCTTTTCTTATTTTTTGACAAAATATGCCATAGAGACTGCAATTTTTCTCACATTCATAAATAACTCTCCAGAGTCTGCATACACAGTGAAGTCAGATTTTCCCAAATCTGGGGGGAAACAAGGGGTAAATAAGGAGGATATGAAGAGCAGTTTAGTCTCAGGATGGTTTACTCACTTCTGTGAGAAATCATCCAAAATACCAACAGTACTTACAAATCATCATTCTTACCTCCTGGCTGGTTTTCTCAACCCTCACTTTACAACACAGTTGAGTAGAGGGGGAACAAAACCTTCTCACATTTGGATTCCACCATATACAAATAATTCTGGCTATTTCAGTGAGCAGCTCCTGCTTCCAAGTAGTTTATCTCCTTGATAAACACCAGAACCACCACACTAAATCATTGTTATTTAGGAATTCCAAGCCAAGCAGAAGAGCTCCAGCAGGAGGATTTGAGAGAGTTCAAGGATAACCTTTCATGTCTAACAAATTGCAGTTGTTGGCTTTTTATTTTGGTGAGAAAAAATAAATTAAAAAAATCCCAAACCAAAATGAAATCATTATTTGACCAATGCAAAGGGCTATTCACACAGCACTTCTCGGGTACTTATGCCCACTTTTTAGCAATGAGGATTTTACAGGAAGCTAATAAGCATTAAATCCTAAATCCTTTAGCTGTCTATAGAAATGGGATTTAGATTCTCACGTGGATTCAGGTTTTTTTCTCTACTGTGTGTAGTAACAGTTCAAGCAGTTATAGCAGCTATGAGAGGTAGAGAATTTCAAGCACTCAGGTGAATACATTCCTATTAATCTGTGCTTGCAATAGCAGTTCAATTACACTCTTTGGCAGGAACAAAAAAAAAACTAAAGAGGAAGCATGGCTATGTTAATACTCTTCCCAACAACAGGATGGAAAGACACTATTCATTGAAAACCCGCACTGAAATAAGCAGTACTTGCTATATCTTGAGTAAATTCTATCCTAACCACTCAGAAACAAATGTTAATTTTTCTGAGAGAGGGAAGTTCCCTTCTACATCAGGGAAGCATTAAAATGCTGTCTTCTATGCAGTTCTTAACTTCATAAATCACTGAGTTGAATTTTGTAATTTAAAAAAAAAAATCCATAAAAAAGAACATTTAGGTGCATATCTGTGAATACTAAAATACAACTTAGGATAGTTTTCCTCCTTCTTATGGAGGACAAAAATAAAAACATGTACTTCAAGGCACTAGTGCCATGAGCAAAAATAGTTCTAAAACAATTTCTGTGCTTATGAAGTTACATGAGTATTTTGTCACTGCAGGTAAAACCTTCCTCTTTTCCCAGATTGCCTAACCAGAAGAAAAAGACATTTGTGGCCTCCAAAGCAAACATTCCAAGAGAAAAAAATGGGCTGTTTACATCAGCAAAGGAAATGGTCTGAGGCACAGATTTAGGATCTGGACACAGCCAGGAGGCTCACTAGCTCAAGGATACTCAGGCCATTGATATAGAAGAAAAACACAAATTTTCTCACGATCCAGATTGGTTTTCACAAAATATTGTCAGTCTTTCCAGTATAATTTACTGTCTGGATATAAATTTTTATAATTTAAACGGTGCAAGTGATTTTACATGCAATAAGTTAGGGAAGGCTTGGGAGAAGGGTCATGACAAAACCCACATGCACCCAGGACCAGGCTGTGTGCACCATGAATGTAAAGTGTGAGCTCCTCTTCCTTGCAACTCTGCTTCCATCCTGAGCACTGCACAGGTTAAATCAGCAGTGTTCCATATTGAGGAGTGAAGGCCTGAAGGGAAATCTGACTGCTCCTAACTGGAGTAATTTAGGCTAGCAGCAGGACATCACCCAGACAAAGGGGAGGAATTAAAACACCTGCAAACCTGCACTAGAAACTCATCCCAGCCTTTGGGAGTTATACACTGGCCAGTGCTTTCCTACTCTGCCCACATCAATTCCACCTCTGTGTATCATAACCATTGCCATTGCACGAGTCCTGGTGCTAAGTAGAAGGAAGAATAGAAATTTAAGGCATTCTAGCAACTACTCCAGCTGAAGCTGCCTGTTAAGAGCCTTTATCCACATCACACAAGAGCAGTGGAACCATTTCTGGCATTTATCTCTGTGCATTGTACATACACAGAGAATGTTTCCATGACAAGATCTGTACACTCAATCATCCATCACTGGTTACTATAACACCCCCTTTTTTAAGGGACCATAGAATTGCTGCTATAGCACAAGTGTGTCATTCTGTTTTCACTGCCGTGCTCTTATTTTTGTGATTCTCACTGAAATTTTTCTGCTGAAACATGCCTCATGGGTTAGTGATATGAGATGTTTTGAGCATGAATGCACCCATGACGAAGTTCTTTTCCAAAAGATGGCTGCAATTGTTTCTCCATTATAAAAAATAGTAATAAACAGTATTGATCTAAAAGCTCAGATGACACTTGTTAGCTTAGATTCTTCTAACCCAATGAGGACTGCTGCCAGGGAATTGGTTTGAAATTTAACTACAGATGGTAGGCAGAGAATATATTTGGTACAGCAGAACACTAGAGTGGCAACAGCCCCAGAGCCTTGGAAAGGTCACAAAGCTTTTTCCCCTTCCACCATGTGGCAATAAATAAATACAGGTATAAGTACCACACAATGTTCTAGTTCTTTGAATACAACTCTTGCTAGAGAGTTCCCCAAGGCCTGCCTTTGGACATGGCAAATTAAAGGTATTGAAATGTCACAGAAATGCAATATTTGACTCAGCCCCACGATGTGCTGGTTGGCAATGGATGACTCAAAGCAGACATCAGAAATGTACAAAAGAGAAAAATGAATGAGGGAGAGCATGGGTATGTATGTATGTGTCCATAAATTATACCACAATTCTAACACATTTTCAGCTTGGCATCACTTGCTTGGCCTGAGTGCCCAAGCTTTAAGAGACGAGGTTGCAGAAAACTTAGTGCAAATAAAAACCACCAAGTGTGTCCAATATCTGAGAGCTGCAGGATAACCTTGCTCCCCTTGGGTCAGCCAGAGAACTTCTCACGACATGCTCTGCCTTCTGACTCACACAGGGCCTTCCATCAAAAACAACTTTGCTTTTAATCATCCCTGATGCTTGCAAGGGGGTGCCAGCTCACCCCACCTGGTCAAGGCAGGGAAGCTGTGAAAACAGAATAAGAATCACAGGGCACTCACAGAAGAGCTTCAGCCTCTTTTCATTTTGTGTGGCAACTCCAAATCCAGGATCAGTGTTTGCTGCTTCTCATGGAAATGGAAAGGAGGAAAAAGACCTTGAGGCAGGAGAGGTAGAAGACAGCATGAGCCCCAGACAGCCTTGCCCATAAGCAGCATCCTCTCTTTCAGAACCAGAGACAAGGCTTGGGCCCTGGTACCTCAGAGAAGAAACACAAGCA